ACACACCTTTAATCCCAGCACTCGGGAGGCAGAGGCAGGCGGATCTCTGTGAGTTCAAGGCCAGCCTGGTCTACATAGTGAGTTCCAGGACACCTGGGGCTACAGGGAGACCCTGTCTCAAAAAGACCAGGAAAAAAAAAAAGACCCAAACAACCTACCATATGTATATGCTGTAATTCTACTGTATATAAACTATACCTCAAGCTTTTTTTTAAAGTTCCCACTGTCATTTGGAGTAATATACAGTAAAAAATTCAAGAAACTACCTTTATACATAGGCAAAAATAACATTTTCGATTCCACAAAAAGCTGTCCCCTTGAATATATTCTACTATAATACACATTCACAAAATAAAACCTAGGGTTGGTTAGTATCTAATCTATACATACATGCCCTATTGTTCTCCAGTCTCCACTTATTAAATTTTCATTTATTTTTAATGTGTGTCCCATGATAAGGGTGAAGGTCAGAGGACAACTTGCAGGAGTCAGTTCTCTCCTCCTATTATGTGAATTCCAGGGATCAAAACTCAGGTCAGGCTTGGCAGCAAGCACTTTTACCCACTGAGCCAACTCTCTATCTCTCTCTGAAACAACATCAAGAACCCAGAAGAAAATAATATATTAAAGTCTTGTAGAAACACACACCTGTATCTCTCGAACCAAGAATCTTCATTTCAGAATCAACTTGATAAACAGAGTAGTTCTAACCCTTATGTTTTTTGCACCTACAAATTTCCTTCAAGTTTTTTTCTTCAAGTAACAAGAAAAATAAAACTAGAGTATATAACAGAATGAACAAGTACAGAGAAACAGGGATATTAAAAGTAGATACAGAAGACATTAAAGACCTATAGTTAAAAATAAGCATTTTGGATACTCCTGAGTTTAGTGATTATAGCATAACCCGGAACACACACAAAAGCCTGAGGTACAATAAACCCCAAACCCAACTTTTCTCATTTCTCAAGAAGGGAATATAGTACCACTAACTTTCATTTTTCTGTAGGACCCAAGGACATTGGTCACCACACTGTAAAGTACATATTCATATTATACTGCCTCCCTGACACTACTATTTGCTTATACAATAATGACACTTCACAAAGATCAGTATCTTTTCCCCATGGGAAGTAAAAAGACCTGCATTAGATACACAGTAGAAATTTTCACTGTGCTCAAGTTGGCTAAAATCCCTAAACACTGAGATCCAGTTAGGTAGCAGTCAAAATTGATGCAAGAGGGACTGGAGAGATGGCTCAGCAGTCAAGAACAGTGACTGCTCTTGCAGAACACCTGGGTTCGATTCCCAGCACCCACACGGCAGCTAACAACCATCTGTAACTCCAGTTCCAGGGAAATCTAATGCCTTCTTCTGACCTCCACAGGCACTGCACAACACGAGTGAACTTACATGCATGCAGGCAATAAACTCATAAAATGAAAATAATACTTTTAAAAAATTGGTGTAAGAGAATAAATGTTTTTAACTATGACATGACTCAATTATCTATACTATTTAGACTATTGCCTATATTAAGGTAAGAAAAAAAGAAATAAGCCAGGCGTGGTAGCACATGCCTTTAATCCCAGCACTTGGGAGGCAGAGGCAGGCAGATCTCTGTGAGTTCAAGGACAGCGTGGTCTATATAATGAGTTCCAGTCCAGCTGGAGCCTATAGAGAGACCCTGTCTCAAAGAGATCAAAAAGAAAAAAAGAATGTTCTAAGCTTTCAGTCCCAAATAGTAGATGCAAAAGTCTTGGTGCTTAAAAATTAACATTTCATGTATTTTAAAAAATCTATTACTGGTCATTGCCCCTGCTCTTGGTTACCCACCAGAACTTGATGGTAAGACTCTATTAGTAAAGACACTACTGGTGCGGATTTCACAGTCTCATCTCTACTGCCTAGCTTTCATAGTGCTGGCTGGAAGGAAAAAATAATTATCAACCTTACCCAGTTGTGAATCCTGTGAGCTACAACTGGCCTGGCAAGATATGCCCACTGGTGTAATATTGGCACAAATATTATGGAGTATCTAACCACTCTTTAATTGGATTTAAGATCCGAAGGCTTCATAGGATGGAGAGCCCATACCTGAAACTGATATTAGGCTTAGGAACCTGAGGCTAGACAGATCACAGGACAAAGGGGTAAGCCTACTAAATAGTTATAGTATTAAACTGACTCCTAATGACTTATTGTCATACCCATAGTTTAATGCATCTCTCAAGTCTCACCAGAGAAGTTTCCATGTGTAGTAGATAGTGATTAACACAGAAACCCACAACTGGCCAATGTGTGGAGAACAAGAGATTGCAGAACCCTTATCCCTGAATAGGACACCTATATCAAACTTCTGCCTCCCAAGACTCAGGGATCATTGTGGAAGAGGGAGGGGGGAAAGATTGTAAGAGCCAGAAGTGGTAGATGACCATAAGGAAATGGAGTTTTCCAGACAGCTGGTCAGTTCCTCATATGAACTGAAAGCAATGGTGACAGCATGCAAGTTCCATCAAGTTCAAGCCAGACAAAATCCCAGCAAACATGGGGAAGTGGGTAAGAAACCCCAACCCAGCAAAATGAACTTTCAGCAACTGATGGCTGCAGAGAAGGGCAGTCTCTTTCAAGGATGGGACTCCTGGTAGATTAACTAGGTTCCAGTAGATGGCCATAAATATTATCATATACATAACAGAGTACATTAAATTGGAATGGGGACAGGAAAAGGAGGTATAGATAGGGGGGAATCTAAATACCAAACTATACTGTATGAAAACTGCGACTATCAAAAAAAACTTTAAAAATCCATTTACATGGGAAAATAAAACTGCTGTATGAATGGCATTAACATTTTGAAAGCATTTCCTATCTTTCAAAATTTAAAATCTTTGATCCAGGATCCATACCCAAAGATGCTAACAACCAATGTGCAAACTTTGTTTAAAGCTCACAATTAAATGTATATTCATTTTAACCACTGTTCAAGTATGAAAGTATTTACCAGATCATAAAGACCCATGATAATTAGTATATATAATATATATATTACATATATAAAATACTGTAATAAAGCAATGAATAAATCTATCTAATTGAATCTATGGGCCTTGACTCATAATTAATTTATCCTATTTCCTCTTTATTTTAGAGCATCACATAGGAACATCCATGACATGGCCCCCAAATGCAAAAAAGCCATTTTGCTTAACTGCTGCTCTGAAGGGATACAGCTGTGACATGCACAGTTTGTAGAAAGTCTGGGTATCACTAGGGCACGTTCATGATTTTCTCACTTCCTGATTTTACTTTTCTCCATCTCTTCTGTTATTCACAATCTCCAGTAGAAAAAATTTACACCAGGCATGGGTGCATGTCTTTAATCCCAGTACTTGGAGGGCAGAGGGAGACAGATCTGTGAGTTCGAGGCCAGTCTGGTGTACACAGCGAGTTCCAGGCCAGCTGGGGCTACAGGGAGACCCTGTCTCAAAAAGATGGAAGGAAGGAAAGAAGGGAAGGAGGGGTCTCCTAGTTCAGAATCTTAATGGACACAACTGAAAATGGAGGTACTCACACAACCGCTAGACAACCATTCCCTAAAAGCGCTCTTCCTTATTTCAGTGATCCCTATTTAGTACCTGTCACAAAGAACTGCCTGCCCACTTCTCTTTATATAAGCTTACATTTTAAAATTTACTCTTATACACAATAAATTCAGATATGAAAATACTAAAGAATTTCAGAGTAGGCCTTTTTACAGTAAACAGTTCTTATGCAACATATAATTTCTGGTTTATCCAACTTTTCAACAAAATGTATTTTGATAAAGGAAACACCATCCCTAAAACCTGTAGAAAGGAAATAATTAGTTTCAATACTACTACAGTAAAGTTCCTTGTTCTTTTTTAATTCTTTCAGATCCTTCTAGCTCCTTTGGTAAAAGATTTAACCAGGTTTTAGCTTTCAGATGACTGCCACTGATATATTTAACTCCATAAATACACCAGAAACTGATGTCTGTGACTCTCCATTGCACAAGGCACAATATGCTCTCACTAAGTGCTTCTTTATTGTAGGATCAGAACTACACATACAATAATACTTAAGATTTGTTTCTGAAACTAAGAAAAACTATCAAGTACTATACACTAATTAAAACGACTCGTAAGACTTCTGGGTCAGCAAGGTGGTTCAGTGGGGAAATGGTGCCTGCTGCCAGGATTCAACTCCCTAACCCACATGGTGGAAAGAACCGACTCCCACAAGTTGTCATCTCCAAGTGTACACACTCACAAAATAAAAATATAACAAAAAAAATGGGTTTTTCCCTGAGATTATTCTTGAGTTTCATAATCTTAAATTACCAAAACAGCGAACAGTAAGAGGTAAGAAATTTTACAAAGGGGGGATGGAGGGGGCTGGAGAGATGGCTCAGTGGTTAAGAGCACTGGTGCTCTTGCTGAGGATCCAGGTTCGATTCCCAGCACCCACACTGCAGCTAACAACTACCCATAACTCCAGTTCTAGGGGATCTAACACCCTCTTCTGGCCTCTGTGGGCTTTGCACATGACACGGATATACTTACGAACAGGCAGGCAATACACTCATACACATAAAAATAAAATTTTTTAAAAAAAGATTTTAAATAGGGAATTAAATGCAAACAAATTCAAAGTATTCAATCCCCAACTAATAGCTCTCAATTTAACTCAGGGATTTTTTGATATATCAGTATCTTTAGAAAACAAGGATTTTAGACAAGTTCTTGGAAGCACATTGTTAAGGGACTGATCTCATATAAACCACATTAGGAGATTAGGAGAGCAGGAAAAATACAGAGGCAAGAAAAATGGCATTTTTCATCAGAAATAATTCGAGTAGTTCATCTATACTACCCTCCTTCTGCCTTCACAAACTTACCATAGCCATCATGTCTAAACGAAGAAGGATGATCTCCCAAAATGGCTTGTCTCTGGCGACCCTTTCCTCTATCTGACACAAAAGTAGAAACACAGTTTTAAAAATTTTGATCTAAGTACATAAGAGTTTTCACATGGGAAACACCCATTCAAACCATCCATTATATTTCATAAAAGAAATATGACTCCTGGTTAATTTTAAACATCCATTCAAATCCAATTTAAATACAAACACCAAAAGTTAAAAAAAAATAGTAATTCTAGCTAACAAATTCCACTTAACTTGAAAATATCTTTCTGGTAAATACCAAATACAATCACACTTTCAAATTTAAAGGAAGATTAGATACTTTTCAGGAAGTGAATGTACACAATGCTAGAGTTTGACACAGTACAGAAGTTTTTACCAATACATGTCTTTAAAATTAGCTTAAGTACAGTACTTTTGAAAGACAGTACCTGAATCATACTATTAGCTTCAACAGCAACACATTTTCAAAGTGGGCTTCTTTCAAGAAGTTTCAGCATAAGCCAACAACAACCTGTATTACATGGTTTCACAATCAGTAAACACAGAGTATTTTATATGTACATACACATATTTACAAGCACCTACTGACTTGAGAGCTGAAAATTTGCACACCACTGGCTCATGTTGTATCATAAACAGGTCATTTTCTACTGACCATAACATCAAGCAGAACTATGAGCAACCTTCAAAGTTTAAATATGCCAAGATAAAGCTAACCAAGGGGGCTACATTATTGGATGAGAATACTACAATACTCTAAAAGATAATTTGTATTCTAGCTACATTTTCAGAAAAGGCATGCCACTTTCCCAAACTCTAAGACATAAATTAAAAAAATTACTTCCAGATTTCTAATAGCACTTTTAGTGCTGGTTGGTAAATTTCAAATAATCACTTGACACATTTACAAGTCTGCTGATCAAATTATAGTACCCAATAAGATTTTTGTGTAGGTATCTGAAGATTCTGGTTTGAAAATTCAGAACAGGCTTTCCATATACCCTTAATCAGCTAAACAAACAGGGTTTATGGGAGATGAGAAATATTTTCACTTCAGTCTAGAGTTTACTTTTAATTACTTATTCCAAGGTATCATAAAACTGAAAGGGACTGAGGAGGGTCATCTAGATCAACTTTTATTCAATGTGAAAACTCTATTAATCATCCCTAGCCTCTGCTTAACCAGTATCAGCAACAAGGTACTATTTTTCTTTATTATTTATAGATACTATAAACTGTGAGAAAATGTCTATGCAGTATAGATTGGTCCTTTACTCAGATTCGAACACATTTGAACCTTATACTTCGTACTTGAAACATTCTTTCAACTACTTAAACAGTGCAACCTCACTTCCCCAGTCACTGCTTCTCTAAATAATTTTTTTCTTACAGTTTTCAGCATCTCCCAACGTTTAAGTCTCAAACCTCTTCATTCAGTCCAGTTTGTTAATTCCTCAATGTTCCTCTGCTTAAACGTGTATCAAAATCTTTTTGTCTTTTTTTTAAATTGTTTTGGTTGTTATTTTGAGGCAGGGACTCACACAGCTCAGACTGACCTCAAACTCCTGATTCCTTCTGCCTCTACGTCCCTGGGATTAGAGGCATATATCATCACACCCAGCTATATATGAAGGTCATTATTTGAGCAGAGCAGACAGAAAATTTTAATTATCTGACAACTTGAACACAGAAAAAAGATTACTACAGAAACAAACTATAAACTACTAGACTGGCCAGAAACTTATATCAATAAGAAATTAGTATTTGTCCCCTGAAGCATAAACATTCTTTTACTTCCTTTAATTATGTTACTATTTAAGTATCTACCTTAGACACCTCTTGCATGAAAAAAAATGAAGCTGGTTTTATGTAAAGTTCAGACCTCTTTGTTAGAAAGAATACATAAACACCATTAAAATCTGTAACTATTTTAACATATATTAAGAAAAACACAACCAAAATTATTTCAACTAAAAACAAAGTACTCAATAACTAAGCTGAGAGAAGTGAAGACATTTCTCATCAACCACTTGTCCTGTTGTTTGAGTGCTAAGGCTTTGTTTTTCCAGTACTGAATTCAATGGCATCAAGCCTAGGCCAAGCAAACTTCCATTGATTAGTGAAAATTTTGGGGTCTAGCAAAAGCTGCATTTTACAAAAACAAACATATTTACAATTCCATGCATAAGATGAGGTGATTTTCTGGAAATCGAGAGCTAAAGAAGCCAATCATCCAGGAGTCCTAAATATTTGAACATGCAAAAGATCACATTGTATTTTACTTTTTCCTTTGGCTGAAATACATGCATTATAGAGTACCCACTGCTCAAAGTTTAACTTGTACAGACACACTCATCTTGAGTTTTCCAACATGTGGTTCAAACACCAATATTGTAGTTGAGATGTAGCCAATACTGAAGCCCCCTTGTTTTTACAAGATTGACATTTTAATTTGTATTTTCCAGAATTGCCACACAGTTAGTTGAACAATTTTATCAGTCAAATCTATGCTCATGAAATTTAGCATTTATAGGCTATAGGTGAAAATGCATCTCAAGTGAAATGCTCTTAATTTTCAGATTTATCAAGTTTAAATATATTCTACCTTGGAAGGACATGTTACTTTCACCTATATTTGAAATGTCAAATTTTTTGGTTACACAAATTAACATAAGTGAAAAACCTTCAATTGTTACAAAATGACAACTTATAAACTACTTTACAAAAATCAAACCACACAGAAAAACATTTTTTACATATAATGTACCTTTCCATTTTGTTAGAATTTCTTGTCAATGTTCATAATTAGGAAAAAACAAAACCAAAAAACAAAGTAAACATAAATGCAGCAAATGTGCACTTTTTTGTGTGTGCTGGGGATCATACACAGGGGCTTGCGCATGCTAATAAGCACATGCTCTACCACTGAGTTGCACCCCCAGCCAAATACACACCTTTCTAATCCATGTTATCTTTAATAGCTGTGTGAATTGGTTGAGCATTATCAATTCCCAAGGCCTGTAGATAAACTGGCCCTTGTTGTAAGTCAATTAACAATTTGAATCTAAGCTGAAAACAGTTACACCAATGGGCATTAAGCTTTACAACATTGCAAAACATCTAGTTTCCGTTATCGAAAGTCTTAAATTCTACAACTGAAACTTTAAGGGAAATCAGATCAGTATACATACAACTTGAATAAATGGGCACAGTCTATCATGGTGTTCATCCCATGCAAGTCTGAAGTACTGTTAAGTGTCGTCCTTTAAAACTTGGGGTGATGGTGCATGCAGTATGCAGTCAAGGTGAATTGCAAGTCTGAGTTTTTCAGAGGGCTTTCTGCTGATGCCGATGTTGTGCATGATGAAGTGTAGAGTCAGCCTGCCGGAGTCCTCTATCCTTCTTAATGCCTCGTCCAGCTTGGGGGAAAAGTCCTTTCCATAGAGAAGCAGTGTGCAAGTTTGCAGTTTGTAAGGAATATTCTGAATCAGTTTCCTCTCCTCCAAAGAGAGAGAGCTGCTTGGAGAAATGCAAGTCCTTGAACTGCGGGCGTGCCTGTATGTGAGGGCTCCTTGTTGAACTAAATATAAATAGCTCAGTACGTACCAGTAGGGGGCACTAATGTCCAAGGTTAATTTCCAGCATTACATAGACTTTTGCAACAAAAACATTCACCAAGATTTTCATCTGCATTAACTAGTTCATCTCAGAAAAAAAAAAAAGAATGTTTAAACTGTGTAAAAAATTTGTCAGCAGATGCAAATACATTCTAAAGTGAGTAAAATACCTACCTCGTCTTCCCAAATAAGGTTTAGTGTAGTCCCAACTGTCATTGTCATTCCTAATAACATTTAGACGGGTGGGCTGTTAAAAGTGAAAAATGACGAAAGTTTAAATTGTGTAGCCAAAGCATAAATATTTCTTCAGCAAAGAGCTGAAAGAAATACTTACCCTAGCATATTCAATTTTTAGTGTGCAACATCCAGCATATATATCAGCTCCATTGAGTGCTGCCTTAGCTTTCTGGGCACAAAGGACTGATTCAAACATAAAGCTCTATTAAGGAAATTTGGTATAAGGTACCCAATAATTCATTCCCAAAGAACAGAACTGAAACATTATCAAAACTAACTCTTGTGCTTCTGGAAATTTTTTCCCAAATAATTTCTAAAATAAATATTGGCAGAATTATTTGTGAACAAAACAACATAAACAACATATCTTTCCAAATCATTAGAAATATTTTATAAGTTGGAGAATGGAGTAAGTGCTATCCCTAAAGGACAACCTACAACCATGAAACAGGAAATTCTTTAAGAACAGTAGAGCCAAGGAAATAATTCAGCGGTAGAGCATCAACCTAGCACGCAGAACCCCATGGTTTAAAAAAAAAAAAAAAAAAGAAAAAGAAAAAGAAAAAGAAAAAGGAGGATGAAAGGAGGAAGGAAAACATTATAAAACAACCAAAATAATTTTTAAAAAAATCTGAACTGGGTGGAGCAGCAGAGTCCTTTAAACTCAGTATTCATGAGACTGAAGCTGGAAGATAGCCAAGAATTTGAGGCCAGCTCAAGCTACACAGTAAAACTTTGGAGGGGAGGGGAAGAAAATGAATTTTTTGTTGAGATAGGGTCTCATACAGCCCAAGATAGCCTAAAACTCTCTGAAGCCAAAAATGATCCTGAACTCCTAACCCTGCCTCTACCTCCCAAGTGCTAGGATTACCAAAGTGTGTGCCACATCAGCTTGAAATTTTCTTTTCTTGAGACAGGTCTCAGTTCTAGGTAGTCCTCACTGTCTGGAACTAACTTTGTAAACAAGGGCCTGCCTCTGCCTCCTGAGACCTAGGATTAAAGGTGTATGCTACCACTCCCAGCAAAAACACTGATTTTTATATATTTCTGAGACAGCATGGTTTCATAATCATTTAACTATCTTTACTAGTTTTTGAAGAAGTCCACAACTTAAAAATAAAAAGCAGAGCCAGTCACAGTGGCACACACCTTTAATCCCAGCACTTGGGAGGCAGAGGCAAAGAGATTGCTTGCTGTGAGATTGTGCCCAGCCTGGGATGGTCTACATAGTGAGTTCCAGGCCAGCAGGCGGGGCATGGGGGTGCACGAATTTAAACCCAGCATTTGGAAAGCAGAAGCAGATGGACCTCTATGAGTTCCAAGCAAGCCAGGGGTATATATAGTTAAGACTCTGACTTAAAACAAAAATAAAAACAACAACTTTGCCAGAAAGCAAGCACTGAAGTGTTTGATATACCTTCTTCTCTATCTTTTCCTATGAATGACCCTGTACAGATAGGTTAGGGTTTATCTTCAACTATACTTAAGATTCTACTGACAAAAGTTTTGCTATTTCTAAACTATTTATAAAGAGTCAGAGTCGCTCATTTGGGATAAACTGCAAAACGGTACATGTACATACACCATCAATAATATAAGCTGAGAGGGACTGGAGATGGCTCAGCAGTTAAGACCACTAACTGTTCTTGCAGAGGAACCAGGTTCAGTTCCCATCACCCACATGACAGCTAACAACCATGTGTAATTCCAGTTCCAGGGGATCTGACACCCTCTTCAATCTTCATGGTCAGGGCAAGTCACAGGTGCACTTACATACATGCAAGCAATACATTCATATACATAAATAAAAATAAAAAATTTAAATAATAGTACAAAGTGAGGTGTCAGACTATTACATAGTACATACAAAGTTACTGTATCAAAACAACAAAATTTCCTGAGTACTGCAGTTTCATTTTTAAAACTGAATAAAACTGAAGTCAAGTTGAATGTTATGAGATGAAAATGTAGGCATCACTTGTCTAGAAATGCTTAAGCAGAAAAAAAAGGTCAATATAAATTACAGGCACTTATATATAACAGTAACAAACTTATAAATAAAGGATATTCGACCATTGCTTGTATCCCATTTCTCTTGAATATAACAATACGTTGTACTTTTCCAACAGGGTTGCATACTGTATATAAAACATCCTATGAAGGGAAAAAAAGTTTTTTTTTTCACCTTTTGTATTTAGAAAAACACTAAAACCATCCTCCACTTTGTTTCATCTAAAAACTAAAACCTTCAAGACATCAATTCTATCACTAAACTTAAAAAAAAAATTATATGTGTCTGAGTGTGGGTTTATGCCTGTGGAGACCAGAAGAGAGCCTCAGATTCCCCCAGTGCTGGGAGTTACAGGTGACTGTTGGTTGCCCTTTGGAACCAAACCTGAGTCCCCTGCAAGATGTATTCTTGAACAATGAGTCACCTCCCCAGCCCTCATTTTATTATTACTTTAAATCTGTAGTGGGGAGGATCAAACCCCAGGCCTTGCAGACATTCTATCACTGAGCTAAATTCCCAAACGAATTTTTCTAATTATATTTATTACTTCCTCACCTACCCAATAGCAACACTGAAGAAGCTCCAATGAAATGCCTGAGAAGCACTGCTGACTATTTTATCTCCTAAACCTATAATAGGTGGCGATAGGACTAGAGTTCAAGGTCAGTCTTGCTACACAGTGAGTTCCAAGAGCAGCCTGGGCTACATGCTACATGACACAGAACCCATCTAGATTGGTTATACTTTTTTCTAAAATACTCATTATTGGCTATCAACATCAGCATTACAAAAATAAATATATGTTTGAATAAAGCCAAAGAGTATTTCATGCTCAGTTGTTTGTTTCCATAACATATACTCAGAGTAGAAATTATACTAACTAAAGCTTCCTTCCTATAATCTAGTCAGTACAAAAATCAAGTATCTTTGTCACTAGAAACAGCATGTAACCGTAGAAGCAAAAATCTAACTGGTTAAGGACATGAATCCTTTAAAATTCTACTAATGCTACCTTTTTTCGTTAGTTTTTGCTGTTTGCCATACTGGGGATTATACCTAGGGTCTTACAAATGGTAGACAAGTGCTCTATAACTGATCTATATTGCCAGTCCTTTTAAACACAGGGTAGACGGCTCAGTGGTTGAGAGCACTGGATACTCTTGCAGAGGACCCAGGTTCAGTTCCTAGCACCCACGTGGCCGCTAACAATCATCTATAACTCCAATTCAAAGGGATCCAATGTCCTCTTCTGGCATCCAAGGGCAATGCACATGCACACACATGGAACACATATATATGCAGGCACTAATAAGGCACATAAAATCACTTTTTTTTTTTTTTTTTGGTCTTTTTGAGACAGGGTCTCCCCATAGCTCCAGCTGCCCTGGAACTCACCATGTAGAACAGACTGGCCTTGAACTCACAGAGACCTGGCTCCCTCTGCCTCCCCAAGTGCTAGGATTAAAGGCATGTGCCACCACATCCAGCACATTTTTAAAATTTTTAAAGGGTGAAGAAGCAGACAGTGAATTGAAGACAGGTTTTTAACAAGCTAACTCAAAACAACTTATGATTTGTGCATATTTGGTGTGTGTGCATATATGGTGCATTACATATTTGTGTATGTGCGAGTACACATTGTGCTCTCCAACATATTTTTTTGAAACAGGGTCCCTCATTCATTCTGAAGCTCCAAGGATCTACCTATCTTCACCAGCAGGACTTAGATTAAAAGATGCATGCATACCTTGCCCAGGTTTTCATTCTCTTAATTTTAAAATTTATTTTTATTTTATGTGTATCAGAGTTTTGCCTCCATGTATATAAGTGCACCTGTACATGCAATGCCCACGGAGGCTGGAAATGGCATCAGATTCCCCTGGAACTGGAGTTACAGAGAGTTGTTAGCTGCAATGTGGGTGCTGGGAACCAAACCTGGGTCCTCTGCAAGAGCAGCCACTTCTCTGCTGAGTCATCTCTCCAGTCCCTTGCCAAGCTTTTTATGTGAGGGATCCGAACTCAGGTCCTCACCCTTACTCAACTTTAACAACTGAGCCACCTCCCCCATCCCTAGTATGTGCACCTTCCTGTACTATGGAAATACTGTCATCACCTGGTAATGCTCTCATGCATATTCTGGCATGAGTTAAAGCAATTTTTTTGACCATTTCCAACAAATCTGTCTATAATTCCTCCTATCAGGAAAAGAACTGACACTAGTGATAATAAAAGTTTTTGATGTATCTATTTAATTATGACAACAGTGTTTCTGATCATTTGGACTTCAATGCTCATGATTTTTAGTTTGTTCATTAAAATTCAGTCAAAATTAAGATTAGTTTAAAATTATCTTGGGTGCTAAAGAATGGCTCAGCAGTTAAGAGGGGTTGATGCCTTTGAAAGAGACTTAAGTTCAGGTCTCATTATCCTCATTTGGAAGCCCACAACTGCCTGTAACTCCAGCCCAGGGGATCTGACACCCTCTTCTGGGCTCCTTGTGTCCCCCACACATTCACACATACCTACCCACACATAAGCATACACTCAAAAATAAATCTTACCAAAAAATATCTAATTGGCAGATAAGAAAACCATAGGTTAGCTGTTATAGAGGTAGTTTGTTCTACTGAAAAATACATACCACCGTAATTGGATAAAGAGGATTCTGAATAGACAGCAAGAGAACTTTGTTGCCCCCTGATGGATCATCAGTATTTCCTGGCCTAGTGATCCTTTTACTTGTAGAATAGTTGAAGAAAGCCTGTTGACCAGCAATGTACACAGGTTCATCTGCAGCAAACGTCACACATTCTTTGGCACTATCTATGTTTTCAAATTCCACTAAAGCCTGACGTTTAAATGGCATCATCATCACATAGCTGAAAAAGAAGAAACATTCAAATATAAAACATTATTCTCAATTAATCCCAGCACTTGGGAGGCAGAAAAAAAAAGGTAAAAAGTAAAGTAAAAGCAGGCTTAATTGACTGAAAGTTTATCCATCTCAGACCTTCAAGTCCAATCCATCATCAGTTACTCCCAAGCAGTTATTAGAAAACACCTGATTATAAAACCCCAAACTCCACAAAAGGTTGATAAGCAAAACCCTAAGTAGCAGAAACTAGCAGACAGTATGGCATATAGCTATATCTTAGCACTTCGGAAGCATAAGGCATTAAGTGGTTGCAAGTTCCAGCCTACGAGACTCTGCTTCCAAAAAAAGGAAATAAAGAAATGAGTTAAGACAAACTGCTTAACTGTTAAAACTTTCCTAGTGA